CACACACACACACACACACACACACACACACACACACACACACACACACACACACACACGCATGCTTCCCTCTCCTCCTCCCTTGGCTTTTGTTTTCTCTGACACATGCACTCCAATTAGCATTTTTCTGCCATTAAGGATGAAAGAGAAGCAGCCAAATGTTTATCTTTTCAAGCCCCCCCTCCCCCCTCCTGTTTTTTTTCCTCGACAAGAGTTTTTTAGTTAAAAAAAAGTGGAATATTATTCTCAATGTTAACATGATCTTCTCTGCATGAAAATAACCAACAGCTTTGCCTGGGAAAGTGATGTGACAATACACCCAATTGTGTTCATGAGCGCAGCTGACAGTCTCCATTTAGAACAATTAAAAGGATTAGAACGTATGACTAAGCAATTAAGGTCATTTTCACCAAAAATATTCTATAAACTTGATAAACAGTTCTTTTTCTTGCACATTCTCCAACTTTCAACCACGACCCTTGGACCTTTTGCTCGAAAAAGTGCCCCAAAACGGACCCTAATGCTCTGTTAAACAGCATGCCGTCCAATCTTTTTGTCTTCGGTCCTTCTCGTGTGTCAAATTAGAGCGTCCTAATCTTGAGCTTTACGCTCAAATTTAAATCTGCGGATCTCAAACTGCACGGCRAAGCTTCAGCTGCTGAGATCTGTCACAGCCGCTGGTGTGCCGCATATTAAGGGGAGAAAATGCTCTTAAAAATGGGCTTTTTCTGACATTAACATGACTTGTGTGCATAGCGCTGCTCGAGCCGTGTAGTTCCAGGCGTATATTTATGAATAGGAACCTTTAATTAGGGCTTGTGTTTCCTCTCTAGTCACATTGAGGGATGGTCCTCRCCGACATTCATTAATGATAATCACCAAGAGCAATGGCAAAGCTACAGGCCAAGTCTCAGGGGACTCGACACTTGAAAAGAAGCATTAAATTACACAGAGGGACTCTTTAATTGCAAAAAGGAAAATATATAGCCATCATTGTTAAATATGATCTTTTGTAAGCCTTTACTGGTTCAAGGATTTGTCTGACGGGTTTGCTATTTTAACACAATCTAGAGCTTCATTTCTGCAGCAACAAAACACGAAGCAGAACACACTTTTACTCAGAAAAACAGGAAAGAAAACAGGATTTAAGGTGATTTATCAGTAAATTCAACAAATAAATCTTTAATGTAAATATTAAAAGGATTTTAAATCCTAAAGTACTCTAACATTTTTTTAAGTTACTGGCTGATTTGTTCTGGTAGGAGTACAGGAGAGGTAAATTTATTTACTTGATAAAATAAATCTTGCTGAAAAAAGATCAGAAAAAGGTATGCATATGCACACGGTCGTGCACACACACACCACTAAACTCCTGACCTAATTGCTCAGCCTCACTCAACTAATTAATCTCATCTGACTCAACATGATGTGAAGGTTAGGTAGGCGACATTCTCCTAAAATCCTCTTCTTCCGTGTCTAACCTCTCACGTTTTCCCTTTKCTTTGCTCTACTTTTGCCTCCGTGTGATCATCCCTGCGCTCTCCCTTTCGCAACTTTCTCAAAATCTTTTTATTTCTCGTCCTTACTCTCTCCTGTCAGCATTTTTCTTTTCTTTTTCTTTCCAATCAGGTCCAAAYGGAGAGCGCAACTTGGCCCACATCTATTTTTACCTGGAGAGGAGGGGCGGTTAAGTGGGCGGGGTCACGATGCCCCATTAATCAAAAAGAGTGACACTCATGTCGTGGCTGACAGCCATCCTGCCAGCCGTACGTCTGTGAACCCTGCCCCCCAACCCCACTCAAACAAGATAACTTTAGCGATGGACAAGGGAAGAAGAGGAAGAAAGGAAACTAAAAGGTGGGCCGTGGAGGGGGAAGGYGAGCAAACTTTATTAATCAAGCACCTCGGATTAATTGTTGCGAAGTGTCACCCGTAAATTCTCCATTTGGATTTAATAACCTTGGGAGGTAAGACTCAACAAACCCTGTCGTGATTTGAGTTTTATTGAAGAGGCTGCAGAGGAAGAGAGGTTGGGGGGGTTGTGGTGGAGGTGGGGGGGAGTTAGGGTTGCTGGAGATGCAGTGACACAAATAGCTTCTCAGCGGACAGTCCCTCTCTGTATGACAGTTATGAAATACAATTATCAGCAAGATCTGCTTAAGAATTCATCAACTGCACCTCTTCCTTCCAAGCAGAGAGGGAGGAGGAAGAAGAAGAAAAATAACCAAAACACAAAGCAAGTCATAACAGATAAGACTTCTTCTTTTTTTTTTTTCCAGCTCTTAAACTATCACTTTAGATTTCTGTCCTGGATGTATTAAAGTCAGTGTTAAGGTATGGCACCCRTATCGCGTTGTGCTGTGGCTTTATATTAAAGGATGAATCATTTGATGATCAAGAAATATGGTAAATGACACGCCACATGCAAATCGCTGAGACCGTTCGCAAGCAGTTTGTCTGAAATGTATCACCCGCTGGTTTGCGTCAGGGTCAATAATAGCAGTTAATCTCCGCGTGCGGGGGGAAAATATACTGTCGCCGAATTGTACGACACCCTGTCAGCTCTCAAAAGTAACCGCGTTGTAAAACGCACATGATTTCAATCAATTGTCATCTAATTGCGGCCATATCTTTTGAAATAAATGAAGAACAGCCACAATGTAGGATGACAGTATGCATAAAATTTGCATAACTTTGCATATTACAATGCTATTATTGTTAGTTTTATCGRAGGCTCCTATTTTCTGGCTGTTTTTGAGTTAAAGGAACACGGACAAACACAGAACAGTCCAGTAGATGGGTTTAGGAAGGATCTGGCTCAATGATCAATAGGTTTTAACAAAATGGAGCTAATTTCTTGATCAAAGACAGAAATCTKGCTGCGCTTCTACCTGAAACACATTGTTTTGTCTGATCTAAGAAAGCTATTATCTCAGGAAAGTAGTCTGACAAAAGACAGATCTGAGAAACAGAACGACTCTGTCTTCGAGCAGACTAACAATGGAAAGTCTTTGTGGGAGAGTTTTTGGGGAAACGGCAGAAAAGCTTGTTAAACACGAGCCTTTAACTAGACGTTTCCATCTGCCGGATATCATCCTGATCGATGGCACCTCGGCTCGGTGAAAAACGACAATAGCTGCAAACCACGGTAAATGTTTTAGCTATCAATGAGGTTTCATCGCTCTGTCACCCAACAGCACGGCCAATCCCTCACTGACACTACATCCAGGATTCAGTACGGTTAAATCGGAGTACATCTCTTCCCATCGGTAATTGTGGTTGTCAGCTGGTGAAGTGCGGCTTCTGAAAAAAATCCTTCACTTCAAGCTCATCTGCTTTAGAGGGTTAAGAATACTAATTAAATTAGACRAAGGGAAAATTGTCCTCATAATTTCCAGGGGCCAGAACACAGAGTTTACTTGGACTTTGATCATGTGATTGAGACCAAGGCAAAACAGGTGGAAAATGCCGATATTGGGGTTTTTCAGTTCATGTTTTCACAGATCTTGAACTATAATTTTTMGTGGTCATAGCCCTGACCAATACATACTTCAAGATTTAATGAGGATTTGTTTAAAACGTTGGTATGAATTCCATCAAAAATGCTACTATTTGTTTTATTAATGAACCKTTATGGAAGGATTTTCCATAAGTAGGTCAGGTCCTGGATCTTTTTTAATGCTATTTGAAATATTGTTGATGCATTCAGTTGAAGTAATTATTATTGGTTATTTTTCATGTATTTCATGTATTTCTAACAGTTCTGTCCAGTCTTTTATTTATTTTTAACTGTACGAATATTTATACAATTTGTCACATTCATTTATGACTATTGTTTTGTCTGTTCCTGATATACATAAATAAATTGTTCCCATAAATCACTTCATACTTATGTATTGTAAAGATCTGCACAAATAAAGTTTATACATATTAGTGTTTGTTTTTATTTAGGGTCTGAACCAATAGAAAAGTATATGAATAATACCTTAAATTACTTTGCCTGTTGCTAATGTGTGTTATTTGTTATACAGGCACCATTTTGCAGCCTGTGCTCATAGCTGTACCCTAATCTCGACTATAACACGTCTTAATGCTGTAAATGGCCCACATTTGTCTTTGAAGACAAACATGCCTGAAGTTCAGATTTAAATCATAAAATTACAAATTGCCTCGCTTCTTTAGATAAAAATTTTAAAGAAACCCTTACAGATATTCAGCAGGTCTGCTTTCTCAGCCCAAAAATAAAATGTGGACTTTTAACAGCGTGAACAAAAAAAGAAAAAAAAACATTTAAATCTTGTAAAGGATATTGGCAGCAGAGATAATGGAAGCTGTGGCTAGTGGTGTGAGGTTTTTGGGAAACCGCCTGGCATCCCAACAAAAGCTATTAGATTAGAATGGGGGATATTATAAGGACGGGTGAGTGTTTCTGACTCTTGATGTTCTCCAGTCCTACCAGCCAATATACAGCCCCTTTTTGAATAGATAAGTGCTCTGATTCTCTAATGACTGAATTGGTTGTATTTAGTCAAAACAGAAGTCAACTATGGATTTGTAAATGCAGTAACAGTGGTTGAAAATTTTTAGAACTTTCCTCTGCTGTTCAAATACGCCTCCCAAATCTTGTCAAAATGATTTAACTAAAATATTTTCTATTATTTGGTTAAACGCATACAAAACACATTTTTAGTCTCTTGAATGATTTTTTCTGCAATTTAACTTCATCACACCTGCAAATCAAAGACCAACTGGATAATAGATGAACACCCAAATTTTCCTCCAACCTTTATTGCTTTTGTCCCAGTGGTCAAGGACACTCATATCAATGGACATCAGGGATGCTCATTTATCAGAGGGCTCTGAGTAATGGAATCAACCAATGACAATAAGCATCAGCACTGCAAACAATGGCCCATAAACATCCCCTGACAAGAGGTCAAAGGTGAGAAAGGTGAGGTGGGGGTTGGGTTTGAGCAACTGTGAGGTTAGACTGTATGTTTTTGCATCTGCACGTTGTGAGTCTGTCAGACGGAGGACTGTAACACAAGGTGAGACAGAAGTAACTGTGGACAAAAAAATAAAGTCCTCAGGGAATGGTGCAGCGGGTCATGATGCTTCCACTGATCACAAATGCGTCCTGTGGATCAAAGTTCAGACAGATTAGCATCTCTGACTTCATGGATGACATTTTCTTTAAACATGTTTATTGCATAAATAATATGGTTGCCTTGCTTCTGAACGCAGGGCCTGAACAGTTAATAGCTTACCTGCAGCAGATAGCTCTTTTAACAATTCTTGTTAAAAAAAACAACAACAAAAAATGGTGGACTGATGAGCTAATGGCTAGTTTAAGAGGGAAAAGAAAAAAGTGGATTGCTAACATTTTAAAGCAACTTTAATTCTAAATAAATAAATAAAATAAATAAAATGCGTAGCTTTTTTAATAACATATACAATGCACTTTATTATTATTATTATTATTATAACCTTTATTTAACCAGGAAGTCCCATTGAAATTAAAAACTTCTTTTTCAAGCGAGACCTGGCCAARATTGGCAGCAGCAGCAGCAAATGTAACACATAGTTTCACATCTTAATAAGACAAACTTAAAAACATCAAATAGAAAAAAATACATTAAAAAATTTAAATTAAAACAAATTCAAAACAACAGGTGCAAGTTATGGAGTCAGTCAAGCACTCAGTGAAATGAACTCAGACAGTTTCCAGTCTTTCTGCACTGTATTCCATGTAGAAGGTGCAGAATGGATAAAAGCCTTTCTTTCCAATTCAGTCCAAGCAAAATGGAACAGAAAGCATCAAAAAGTCTTGCAAGCGGCTGGAGTAAGAGRCAGTGCTTTTCTTTTACAAATGTAAGAGGGAAGAAGTCCACATTGCCTTGTATATTAATGTATACCAATGRCAGAGCCTTCCAGTGGCCAGAGCAGGCCAATCTACCCTTGAGTACAACTCACAGTGATATTATTTTGAATTACACAATTATTCAAGTACCGTATTTATTCAAGTATAATACGTAAAATTTAATCCATAAAATCATCCATAAAGTTGGGGGGGGGGGGTAGTATTATACTTGGATAAATATTTTTACTTATGTATTTTAACAGAAATATTGGCAAAATTATTGAGTCCGGAAATGAGACTGCATTGTAAAAAGCAGTTGAAACGAGCTCACCTGTGACACTCCATGCTTTAGAACGAGATATTAACAGATCCAAGCAGGCGACAGGATGTTAAAAAAGGGGTAAAAAAAAGCAGTCCTGCAGCTCAGTAATGATAATAAACTAATGACATTAGCGTGTGACCGGGCCGCTGCTGGAACAACAACAAACACATGTTCGTCTGTAATGGCTGTCGTCTACCGGTGTTCTAAAAAAGTTTGTATCCCTGAAAAAAGTTTCCCCACCAGAGGGGGCGCACGCGAGTAAGAAGTAATCTGCTTGTATCTGCTTGAAGCTGGCCCAAATCTTATGTGAATTCCCTGACTTTTGTGTTGGCGCATCCTGGTGGACTATGTGTAAAATACCAGAATTCATATGATGCTGCTACAGCTGAAATATATTGTTGTCAAAATACCTTTTAGTACATATGTTGTTAAAATAAAATGAACAGTCCAATGATCATTTTACTGATGTGTATAAAGACCGCAAAGGCTGAAAAATCTTGAAGTCTATATGAAAATGGAGGTATTTTGAGGATTAAATTTGTTATGCTTTTTAAGCTCAAAAAAGGGGGGTCGTATTATACATGAGATTGTATTATACATGAATAAATATGTTAAATGTATTAATTATATTTCTGTCAAAGGTGACCCAAGCTGCACCAAAAGTGCTACAGCTAGATTCTGATGTTTTATGGGTAAATAAAAAAAAAACATAGAATTGAATCTAAATAACTGTGTAAGGGTTTCCAAAATCTGTTCACCTACAATGCGAAGTAATC